CCCACAAGTAACGAGCATAAGAGCTCAATAAATGTGAAGGAAAAGCACTAGCATTCTTTATACATTGACCAGAATATTGTAGCATGGTGTGCTGTAGGGGATGGGAGAACACAGGTTATCCAGCTCTCTGACTGTGAGGTGTGTTTCTTATTTAAGCAGTTACAGAACTCATCTTTAATTTATTTTTGCTTAAACACAAGTTCAGACAAGAAGCCTAAATGAACAAGGAACATTTGTCTTTCACTGTATACTCCGTCAATCATTATTAAACCTAACTTCTTGTATAACCTCTGCATTTCTGTGAGTCAGTCAGATCCATGGAAGTGATCCCTGTGGCCAGACATGCAGGTATTGCATCAATAAACATAGGATGGTTTTCCCTGCATTTTACTGTTATGATTGGGAAGCAGTTAATTTTGGGAGCTTGCAGCTGCATTTTGTTTTAAATTGACATTTTGTGTAAGCATTTTGGTGGCTCAGAATTACCTTATTTTTCTTTGCCAGGAATATTGCTTTTTATTAATTTTCTTAAATAAAAGACCCATAGAGATTTCCATCAATTTTTGTGAAAGAATCTCTATGAAATAGTTCCTGCAAGACAGTGAGGGAAAAGGGGCTGAAGCTAAAGATCCTGGACATCCTGTCCTGTCTGTGCTCCTTGGTATAAAATATCTTTGCCTAAGTTCATGTCTGTCCTGCTGCTGTAATGCTGAAAGTAGCCATTTACAAATAAAAATTGCATTGTAGCTGTAATACTGAAAGAGTTTGACATGCTTGACTAAATGGACTTTAAGGACCTGAAACCTTGTGCACTGTCGTGTTGGTGGTGAAAGAAGCAGCTTTGTCCTCTGAGAAGCCGTGATCCTGTGCCTTTTTCTGGCTCCTTCCACAGAAATGTGCCTTGGGAGCAGCCCTGGGGAGCAGCAGCACAAGTATTGCACCAGATTTGCATCATCAGAGAGCCCAGGCTCATTAGAATGCTCCTTCTCTGCATGGCTGTAGAGTTTTGCACAGCTTTTGGGTAGCGGTGAGGGACTTCTGAAAGAGGTGTGAATGCCAGGGAGAGCAACCAGCTTGTACATTCTGCTCCTGCACTGGGCTCACAGTAAAGATGAATTTGTTAGCTATTCAGGGCTGCATACATGTCATGTCATAGTAAATAATCAAAGTTATGGAAATTACATATTTAGGGATCAAACAACACAATGGAAGAAAATTGTTCAAATTGCTCAAAAGCAAAATCCATTAAAATTCTTGCTGCTTGTACAAAGCTTTAGCAGCATTTTGATGAAAACATCCTACAATCAGAAACCTACATGGTTTGATGAGCAAATATAGAAAGCAAAGTTTTCAATGTTTCTGATTTTTTTTCCCTCGTTTCCACCTGTCAAATTCATTCACTCAATTTAATCCCAATTTTCAAAAGAATTTTTGTCTCTGGAAGATGTTCCTAAGTGGTCTATATTTTCTTTTGCAAACAAAGGGAGTGGGGAGGAAGAAATCTCAACAACAAAACCTCAGTTATATTTTACCTGTATTCTCATTATTTTTTCAAAGTCCCTTAAGAAAATAAAAAGCTATTTCTAGTATTTTGTAGTTCTTATAACCTGAAAATCAATTCAGTAAAACTTATGGTAGTTTCTTTGCTGGCTTTAAGAGATTCTATTTCCACTCCATAGAGCTTAATGTTAAAAACTTATGGGAAATTTGACTTATTCATAAATGATTTGTTTCTGTCAATACTAAAAGAGCAAGCTTAAGGTTAATATACCTGCACAGCTTGTATGGTGGTAAGTAAAGGAGATGCCTGCTGTATCTGCATATGTTGTCACAAATCTTAAGCCAAGGTCAAAACCTTAATTTCAAGCCTTAGCACACTTCCATTTGCCTTGTCCAAGCATTAAATATAGGCTCATATCCTGCAAATGGTGGTGTGAGGCTCGTCCAAGGGTCAGTCCTGATGAGCGAGTCAGGATTTGGATCTGCACATGGTATAACCCTTGCTCAAACTGACACAGGACAAAAGAGCAGGAATCTGGAATTCTGTCAAAGTTTCCTTCCGTTGCTTCATATCTACTCCTGATGCCTGGTCAGGGCACCACTGATCAACTGTTCCCAATTAGGAACTGGGGAAAAAAACAAAAACAAAACCGTGGGCAGGACAGGCACTGGGGAGTGCCAGGTTTTCTTTGTGCCTCTGGTACAAAGGACCCAACCACACTGTGAGCTGAGACCCAGTGCAGGCTGTTGGGAGCATCTTGCAGGTAATATTGACAAGGTGGGTCTCAGGATGGGAGCAGTAATTATTTGAAATCACAGGCAAATATTGCTCAGTCTTTTCTAATATTTTTAATTCCTAAGGGTATAGTTAATCTGTAGGTGCTGCCTTGTCACATGTGTTTTTTCTCTAATTTTAGAAATGTTAGTGTACACAGTCTGAAAAACTATGTTGACAATACAGCTACATGTAGTGGTAAATGGAGATAGTCTCTTAACAAGGCTCAGGTTTTGTAGCCATATGTTCAAGATATGAGAAGCAAAATATGTATTGTGTAGGAGCAGCTCTATTCCCATAGCTGTGGGTGTACCAGTGTGTGCAGCAGCCAGATAACTATCCTGCAAAACACTCTGCAAAGGGCAGTGCCTGTATCTAATCCCAGATCAGCAGCTCTGCTTCCTCCCAAGGGCGCATCGTCCTGCAGCCTACCCAGTAAGGCCTTACAGCTTTTTTGTCTGTTTTGTTGCTTAGTTGAGCTTTTCTTTTTGGAGGAAGGATTTTGTTCACCTCTTATTACCATGCAGTGAATAAGATCACCTGGAATTAACACTTGGAAGAATATTTGACAAACATCACCTCAAAAATTCTGTTCTCCTGACACTGTGGGCTGCAGGCACACCAGATATAAATATGCCAAAGCAGTTCTTCCATTAACCTCACATCACCAGTCTGTTTTTTTGGGCTGTCTGAGTATGAAATATTAATTGGGAAATACACTGTACCTGGGGATTCGAACTATGAAACTATTTCAGATGGCTCTCTCATTCTTTTTGACTAAAAATTTTATTCTGGACCTGAGCAATCATTTCTTCCTCAATATTTTAGCAAACTAAAACCATTCCCATCAAAGTTTCCATTTCTATAAATTAACTATTTTTTTTTCCGTTGTGGAATGAACTTCCATTTGACACGTAAGTGTGAATAGAATTATGCAACTCTTAGCCATAGTGAGGTCTTTGTCAGCTGGTGCCCCTGTATGGTATTAAGGAAGAGAACACATTCTCATAGATTTGATATGTGGACTCAGAAATCTTTGGTCTAGAAAGCATTTGGTTCATTTTCAGGTGACTGACTGGGGCTAGTTCACTTCTCTTTTCCTTATACCCTGATTTCCATTTGAAAATGCGAATATTGGTATTGATCTCATTCATAACATACTTCAGACTGTACAGATGGAAGTGCTACAGATGTATTCTATTTATATGAAATGCATATTACAAGGCAAGATTGTCTACTAAAGAGATTCCAAGACTGAACTTTTCTGTGAACCAAATAGAAGAGGTACATTTAGCTGTCTTGATGGAAACAAGAACTTGATCCCTAGGACTGCATCCCTTCCAGGTCCTTTGGTTTTTGCTTGGAAAATGGCATAGTTTATCCTGAAGCCAGTCCTGTGTTGCAGAGTAGGCAACTCTGTAAGTGAGACAACTCTGCTGACTGACCAGATTCATGGAAGAGCTGTATGTCAGTATGTCTGACCTGTGATCGGATTGCTCCGATTGCACTCGTAGTTTTGTAGTCGCATTTGTTTGCTGCTGTGATGTGCATCTTTGGCTGCTGTGAAGGTGAGGGGTGGAGGAGGGGTTGTCCCATCAGTTTACATTAATTGGTGATTTTGCCCAGCAGTTTTTCTCTCCCTACCCTTGTCTCTTGGGGTGGCACCCTATGGGTGGCGTTGGCTGCAGAGCAGTAGCCCCGTGCTAATGTGCAAGGCTTTATGCAGGCATCAGGCATTGAAGTATGCTATCACTGAACACTCTCAACAGAGAAAGACTTTTTACCTAATTATGTCTCTTCCTGAATTTGTGGGCATGTCCATCTAGCTAATAAAACCCTCAAAGAATGACTCTTTTATATCCTGACAAAAAGGCTTTTTGATTGATCTATATTAAGTAATATTGATTAGTTTGTTGTAAACATGTACACATGTAAAAAAACATTTGGTTTGTTGTTGTTTTATTGTTTGGATTTTTGTTTGTTTGTTTGGTTTTTTCAACATCTAAATTTCTCATTATCATTTTTGACTATGTGTTCATTCTTTCCAGACGCAGGAAAGAATTTTTATACACATTGATTAATCTTTCTTTTTCTCTGATAAAAAAAATCATATTAATATGACATCCTGCAGATCTCTGATGTTTACATAGTATCAGCACAGGGAAATACTACTTTCAGTTTGATACATAAAGCCCTCCTTGTCTCTTGTGTCTTTTGTCTGTAGGCTATTATGCATGTGACTAAAGCCATGCATGACTTGAGCAAATGTTTGAATAGGGTTCTTGTGTAGTAGCACTGTATAAGCCATTAGGCATACTCTCTTTAATTTGGTGACGAAAACATTATGGTACATTTGGTCACACAAAGTAGAGTGAAATTGCTTTTGTGGCAGCAGAATAAACAGCATTCTAATCTGTGGGGGTTTTTTATTGTGCACGTGTGTGTGCGCTGCATACTTGTGGCAAAATTATCAAGCAGGACTGAACATGAAAAGTGTTAAAGTTATTGGAGTTGTGGAGTGAAAGCTGGGCTGAAGAGAGAAAAAATGTATTGCTTATTTCAGTCTGAAATTTGAAATCAACATTATTCTGTCATATTTGTGATCTGAGCTTGAAATCTGTTAATTGACATGTGAGGCAGTTGCTAACCATCTTTGTCATTTGTAAAGCCTTTTGTAAGAGCACTGTTTTTCTTTCTTCTCTATATGTGGTGAATACTGGAGTAGGGACTTGAATTTTTGCTGTGGGAATGTGAAAAACACGGGAAGCTGCTCTCTGCCAAGTTATTTCCCCAAGGATCTGCTTTACATACTGACAATCAATGACCTGTCAGGTGTAGTTATGCACCATAGCAATGATATGAGGTCAATCAGATGAAACCAAGGTATGTATTCCCAGCAGATTCCAGCTATCTATTTAACACTGTCAAACTAAGTTTGCTTTGCTAAAGAGTGTCCTCTTTCAGTTTCATTTCTTTTTAGATTTGATTAACTCTGGCTTTGCCTCTAATCTGTCAAATTCTAACAATGGAAAAAATATTCATTTATTTTGCTTCGTCTGAAAAAATACTATACTACATGTTTTGCTATTGTGCCTTTTGACCTAAACCCATGCTTATTATATAGAGTACAACTTTTCCTCATATAGTGTGTATTTGATGTAAAAAAAATTTAACAAATATGTTCTTTGCTGTAATTGTCAGGAGATATTTAAGTAATTTGTTAATTTAAGTAATTTAAGTAATCTGTTTTTAGTGTCTCCTAAACACATGAATATTTCTTTAGAAAAAGCCACATTACAGATATAACACATTTATTTTGCCTTAAAATTCCATTTTTGTGAAGTGAAAGATGCATAAATTTGATCTGTAAATAGGTATTTTTGTATGGAATCACTTCTTATTGTTTTATGGAAATCCTGCATCTTGCCAATGTTTCCAACCTCTTGATACCAGAGCAGAAAATACTTTCTTAAAATAGATACAGGATTTTTCCATATTTTTCCCATTAAAAAAAACAAAAACCAACAACAAAACAAAAACAAAAAACAAAAAAAACCCCAAAACAATCAAAAAATATAAAAAAAGAGCTGTTTTGTTAGCTCATGACTGAGAACTGCTAAGGATTAAGAATAAACATGCACTTGGTACACTGTGTACTGCATACAGTGTAACAGTGCAGCAGCATTTTTAGCTACTGTGTGTATCATATTGAAAGCAGAAGACAGCAATGATAACATAGAAACAAAACAACTGGATTAAAATGTATTTATTAAGTTACAAAAAAAAAAAGTGTTGCTTTTTGGGGGGAAACAAGAGTGAAGAAACAAGAAACCGAACCCAGGGCTTTTATAAATATATGTTAAAAATATCTCATTCAGAAATGCAGATTAATTCTGTCTGAAAGCTGCTGCAAGATTTTATATGAAAAATATGTTTTGTTTTCATGATGTTGTAATCCATCCTTTATTTGTTGTCTTGCTAAATATAGTTCAAGCACTATCATTTGAGTGTAAGTTAGTGTATGCCTGCACCGTAATTCTTTTATTTTTCAGACATTTTGAATTCATCTGTTGATTTTCTGTGCTGCAAGACCAGCATGTGAATCATGTCAGCAACTGCACTCCATGTTTCAAAAACATGTAAAAACATTACAGTTCTTCAAACAGAAGAAGCAGAGATCTGGATCCCCAGTGGAGTGCTGGAAAAAGAACACAAAGGTGGGATGTAAGATGATACCCTCATCCTTTTATGGGGGATAATTTGTAGCTAACATATGAAGTTGGTACACAATTTGAGGAAATGAGCATCCCACCCATTTTTTCTTTGTGTGCTCTGTAGAATTCATATCCTTCCATTTTTGTTTTTTGTTTCCTTGAATTGTGCCTCATAACTTATTGTCACTGCTCATTAGCTGTTGGTGTGTTGGGAGGGTTGTCCAGACAGTGACCCTGCATGGTAACAGCCGAGCAGTTCAGAAGAGAGTCAAAATTCACGGTGACCTTTAACGAAATATAAATCCGAAGAAAACTGCTTTTACTTTACCATATCTGAAACAAAGTGAGAACTATTATTATCTTTAGTCTTTGCTGTCATGGTATTTAAAGATACTCTGAAGCAGAGGAAATACGTTTTCTGATGGGACCCTACTATTGTCCTGGTTTTGGTGAATGGGATACGTCATTTAAACTCCTATTTTCCTCTGACCATCACATTTAGTTCCTGGTTGTCCAGTTCTCAGCCAGGGCTGCTGCGTGTTTTGACAGTGAATCCTGAGAGCTGCAGCTTGTTTGCACATTCCCCTTTCCCCTGGAAGAGAAGGCCTGTAGGTAACCTGTGAATGCAGTGCCATTTGCATTTTTTCTTTCTAATTTTTCCTGTTTTCCCGATAGCAGCAAGGAAGTACCAGATCCAGTTGCCTTTCTCCTTCCTGCCACTCCAGAGCCTTGCTGTAGGAGCAGATTGGGCTGCTCCAAACCAGCTGGCAGAGAAAAGCATCCATTTGACAGGCGGGCAGAGCGGCAAAGGGGAGCTGGAGGCTGGAGAGGACCGCGCTCTCCAGGGGAGATGCAGGTTTTTGGCAAGCTGCAGCCTGCCCTCAGAGTGCACCTGCCCACAGTGAGGGGCTGAGGGGACAGCCTGCAGCAGGGCAGAAAGAGCTGGGGGCCACGTCCTCAGCTGCTGCCTGCTCCAGTGGGACAGTGAAAGATGGCCAACTACTCACATCTCCAGAGATCAAGCCCCTACTGGAGCCTTTCCTTCTATTCCCAGGGCTGCTCAGTGCCCTGTGGCCTGCAGCTTCATGCTACTCCACTGTTTCCCTCCCAAAAACCCTGGTAGAGTGGAGTTGTGCTGGCTGCCCATCTCCCTGCAGAAGACACTGCGTGCTGCCTCCCCGAGCTGTGTCTCGTCCAGGTGCCATAGCCTAAATGACAGCTTGTGGGGCCACTGGGGTAAAATGCTGCCCATCCAGCCTATCAAGGGACCCTGTTTTACCCATTTGGTCCTCAATGGGGAATAAATGTTCATTGAAATGACAAAAGAGGTGCCATCCTATTGCCTGAAACAGATGGGAAACCTGCTTGCATTGGCCATATTGCTTTTGAGCAGTTCCTAGTTCATCTGCATGAAAACGTCTGTCCCGTGAGCCTTAAACCTCCTGTGGGCAGCTCATTTTGGGCTACTGCACAAATCTGTCTGGTGAAGACTTGCTGGATTCATCTGGCTTGCTCATATTTCTAAAACTGAGCAAAGGACTTATTTATTTGTGGCTGTTCTCTCCATTTGTGTGGTGCAGGGTTGGTTACCCAGGAAGGGATGCCTGCCACGCTCTAAAATGGGGACGATTATCTGTGTGCAGCTTGAGAATAAAGCTGTGTCACAGCACCTGTTCAATCCCATTACAACAAAAGCTGGCATGGCAGGAGTAGAGCTGGAGCAGAGTATACAAGATGCAGTTTTATTTTAAGTGAAATTCAAAACATACCATTAGGAATAAACCTTTTCTTCATAAAGCAGTAGCAGGGAAGGCAGAATATATTTTCCAAGCAAGTTGCAAAAGTTCAGGAAATTCTTGGCTCACTGTTTGTTCTAAGTGATATAAAGGAGAAGAAAGAGACTCTATGCAGCACAAATCATATTTTTAAGAATTTCCCAATATTGCTTCCTGTCTTTGTGCTTGTGAAGCAGATTGTATATAGAAATAAAACAGATTTATTTTATCTCTTCAGAAGAAAGTGTCTGCTATATATTTTGCTGGCTCTCGTTCGTTCATTCATTGAAAAACAGCAGGAAAAGGGCTTTTGTGTTAAGAACAGTCAAGGTCAGGGATTTTTGTTTTTGATGTTGGCTGCCAGTAGCTTGCTTTCTCTGACTACTGTTTCCAAGTCAGTTTGGATAGCAATCTAGTTGCTAGCTTACAGGGAGATATTTCACAGCTACAGGTCATCTGCAGTGAGTGCAAACTAGAAGGAGATTTGAGGACCAAATTAAATGTCCTCTACTCAGCTCCTATTCATGCCAATATTGAATTAAGTTTATCAAGCCTACTAAAGGGCACGCAAATTTGTGACTCTGATGCTGCAAACTCTTTATACACACTCACCTTTAGAAACTGTGTGAGAAAAATCTTTACCTGTGTGACTTGGTTTACAGAATCAGAGCCTTTCACACAAAAATTCACTATAGCAAATACAAATGGTAAGCAAATATAAATGGGAAGCAATATCGTGATTTTATAGAAAGAGAACTAATGTTCTACAAGTGGACATTTTTAAAGCCATAGTACCTTGAAATTGCATAGTCAATCACACTTACTCATTCACAGTCAAACTACTGTATTTCTAAAGTCTCAAGTTAATGGTTAAAGGCAAATAAAAGAAATCATTAGGCAAAATATCTATATGTCATAAAATGTCAGTATGAAAGTCTGAGCACTTCTTGTTCAGTTTATTTTTCTGGCAGCGGGACATTTGGGTGGCAGGCAAGCACAAAGTAGAAATATGCTGTAGTTTATTCTGTGGTCTGTAAAGCCAAACCACTGTGCAAGAGTGCAGCTTAATCATACATCCACTGACAACTCCTGTTTAAGCCACTCACAAGCAGCCTGTGACACACAGAGAGATTGCACTTTTCCCTCACCTTTTAATGTAATTCCAAAGATTTTGTGAATATATCAATTAGAGGTTTCCAGTAATGGAAAGCAGGTTTCAAATGCTGGAGAAGTACAATAAATCACCAGCCATATGGGCTTTTGTCATTAAAAGAAAGCCATAATAAGACAAAAGCTGAAGTAAGTTAAAACAGCTGAAGAGTGATTTTAGGCGATCTTATGCAAAACTCACTACCTTGGTTTATTCACAGGAAACTTCTTTAGAAGACTGAAAGAAAATCTTTTTCAACTCTTTATTTCTTGGCTACATCAGAAAGCAAGCAAAGTAAAAGCCATCTCAGTGGCGCTTTTCATGCTCTGCTTACTTTGTTTTCACATGAGATCCTGCCTGCTACCTTTGTTTTTTCCCCCCTGCTTTTTAGAGGGCTCCTTGTGCAAAACAATGAAGAGTCCTGATAACAACAGGCAGTTGCTCCAAGGCCTAGTTGTTCAGCAGGATTCACTCCAAGAAATTGAGAGGGGTGTGTTGAGTCTCTTTTCTATCACCAGCCTTTACAGTTAGCGGACCAGATGGCATGAGAGGGGCGCAAAAAATAACGACAATAAATAATTCTACAACTTACAACGTGGACCAAGCTCAGTTACTTCCACTTCATCTCACTGTTTGGAAGTGCCTTTGATGTATAAAAGCACCCCCTAAGATAATGAAATGCGGTGGCAGCTGGCTAATGGCTGGGAAAGTGCAAACCCTGCATTGAACTCTTCCCACCAGGCTATTCAGCACCCAGGCAATGTCAGTCTCAAGGAGACAAGGAGACGGGAAGAAACAGAGGCTTGTTGCTGTGCAGCATTCGGGCTTCTGGGCAGGCTGCTGTAGGTGGGGTGTTATTTGCCTTGCTGAATAGAAGTGATGTGCCCAAGGCAAAGGGAAAGTTTTTACTGTCTTAACACATTAACCTTGCAGACTCTGTCCTAGAAATGTTAAATGAAGCCACAGGGTCACGCTGCTTCAGGAGACACTGCTGTTGGGAAAACTTTAAAATGGACTTTTTTTTTTACACTACAATCCCATCAGTCATGCAATCAGGGTTAGTTTCCTTTCAGGCAGGACTATCTCGTGGCTCGCTTCCATAGGCAATAAAAAAATAAAGGCATCCAGACTTTTCTCTCAGCTGCTCCAGGCCTAAATGTGGGCCAGGGTAAATGACAAAGATCTAAAATAGACAGCAGACACAGGCAAATATGAAAACCCTATTTGTCCAGGAGCTTTAAAACAGTACGGGATTTATTCCTCCAACACAAAGAAAAATTTCTGGTCTCTCCATTAAATGATCCTGTGTTAATAATATTATAATGGGATCTGACCCTGCAAACACTTGATTAGATGTGCACTCATCTTCATGCATTAGTTCTGCTAACCTCAGTGCTGGCATTTGTCACCAGAAAGTTCAGAATAAGCACAGACTTTGCAAGTTTGGGGCTTGCCCCTGCCAAATGTGGCAGCAGCCTGTATCAGCAGGGGAGGTGCAACAGGAGATTTGCAACAGGGCCTAATTATAAAAAGAGTGAGTGGTGAAAGTAAAATTTACCAGAACAAATATTTTGGCAAAAAAAGGGAGATATTTTCTTTTTTAATATTTGGCAGAAATTTGTTATTTTTTATAGTTAAATTTTGGAACATTCATACACAATTATAAAATTCAACTTGCTGGCAGTCTAGATACAAGGGATGGAAATATTCTGAAATATTACTGCTGTGGGTGTTATGATCTTGCAGGCAAGGGTCTTGTATGACCAAATGACCATTGTGATACCTTAATCCTCAATATAGAAGTCCACAATTGTTTGAGAGCTGTAGTAGCCTCCAAATCTCATTGGTTTAGGAGAATGCAGAAGGTTAAAAAGGGGACATTTTGCATACTTTGTCCAAGATAAATGTCCAGATCCACAGTCAGGGCAAGGTTGCTGAATCTCAGTGTGCATTTTGATTGACTCTATGCCAAAGGTGTATTAATTATTGTCACTTGGGCTAATGTATACCGTATCCTGCAGTACAGCTCCAATATATTTCCTAAGAGTAAACATAAGTCAATGTCACCAGAATTTTTCAGTGCCAAGAGGGAATAGCTCTGTTTAATGCTAAGGCTATGGCAGCAAACTTTTGATCTGTTGCTTATGATCCCTTACCTTCACAAAGTGTACTTGCTTTTTAGGAAAAGTCTTTTTGTTTCATTAGGTTGGCACTCACCAAGAAATCCCAGCCGGGGTAGAAATATTGGCTCCATCAGTCAGCCTTCGACCGGTCCCTGCACAGAGCTTGTTTTCTAAATCTGGTTTTGAGAGCTGTTTGCTTGACAGACTGCTTTGCAGACTTATGATTGTTTGTTTCTGGCTCGTTTTGATTGCTCTGATAATCTCTAGACTTTGGCCTTGAGGCTATCATTTATTTTGTACTTTTATTGGTGTTTGTTATTTGAAACTTTGTTTCCAGTAGATTTGCGGCCCCTTTCTAAGCCACTTTTCTGATTAAATTTTGTTGAAGAAGTTGGTGGATTACTTTACCTATTTTCCCCTCTCGTTTTTCCTCCTCCTAGTTGTTCAGTTGAGAACTCACCTGCCTTTTGTTTGTGCCTGCCTTTGTGATTTATTTTCAGATTAGAAGGAGCAGCTGCACAGCTTTTACTTTTATTAGTTCTTCTCAGTGAGTCAGGCAAAATATTAACCACCCATGAATTGCTCTTCCAAAACCTCAAGTGAATTACAATAGAACTTTTGCCTCCATAGTTCAGAAAAAAATATTTTTATTCTTTGACTTTCGCTTCACCCAGTCCTTTTGTGTGTGTTTGTGTGTGTCTGTATGTGTGTGTAGATATATCTGCTGTGAGGACAAAATAAGTTAATGTACCAGAACATATGAAGCTAGCTTGAGCTTTCTGACAATTTGCCTGACAAAATTTTTGCAAGAGTTAAAACATGAAATTTAAGTTCATATTTAGGCCTCGTCCCTTCAATGCAAGGAGCTCAGTGGCATGAATACACGCATCCAGTGCTTCCTTATTTCCAAGGCATTGTGGTTCTTAGTTCTCTGATCCTTT